TATATTTCTCTATTAGCTAGTTTGATAGTATAATTAACCTTGAAGGTTTTATTGGCAAATTAATACATTTATTTTTGTCATGTGTTAGGCCATAACTTATATTCATATATCATACAAAAATTCTTGCGCTAACGCTCATCTAACTGTTAGATATATCTATCGACCCATCATATAATTTCAAATATCTATGCATTAAAAAAAGTAGTATTATGATATCAATATATCCGCTAAATTGTAGAATAATAATAGTAAGTTTACTGATCTAAGTTATTTGATTGGGTTATATTGTAGGGTTAACCAAAACCTACTACTGAAAATAAAAAATGTCCATACATTATTAATTAACTAAAAATATCAACGGAGAAATAAACTCAACATCACCAAACCTTCCCTTCCTTGTACATAATATATAGACACACCAAGAAATTTATCGACGAAAAATCGCAAATGGCAAGGTTGGCGACAATGACGAGCTTGATGGCAGTTTTTGTGGCGGCCGTTTTCCTTTTGCAGCCAACGGAGGCCACAGTCATCACCTATCAAGTTCTCATGGAAGGTGACCGGATTCCCGGGTCGCCTCCCGCAATGCCCGTGAACCCATACTCTCGACCCAACGACTTGACCGCCAGAAAGTTGTTGACCGTCAAACGTGTTCCTAATGTCTCAATTCATGGCCTCCAAGGGGTCATTCAAGGACGGATTTAGGATTCTTTTATGAAATAAAATGTTCTTTTGGATGTATTTTTATTGAGTACTCTCTATAAATTAATTTGTACGTGACATTATCTATCTATCGTGTTAATGATGATCTATAAGAGGGAAAATATCATTTCTTAGAATATTCGACTAACAAAATGCATATACGTATATATACATAAGAACAAAAAGTAAATTTATGTTTAGACGCCTATTTTTTTATGTGATACAGTAAAACAGATTTTCCCATGAAAGACTTTTGGTAAACAATACCTATATAGTTTTTGTATGGCAACCTCTGATCTAGTCGTATAATTCAAAGATTTAGTATTTTTTATTATCTGGCACTGAAATCCCTGCTATCCTGGTATATATTAATTTAGAACATGTTGAACCTAGGTGGTAGGCTCACATACTTTGAGATCTTTTGTGACAAAACTACATGTTTCGTTATTAGCCTTGAGCAGATTTTAAATTACTTTCAATCCCAAAATAATTAGGTCCGGATTATCCATAAATATGTATCTCCCCCTTTGGCATATAGATCGAAAACCCGTTTCTTGAAACAGAACCTGCAAAAGACAAGTAAATCTCGCAGCAGTGTAGATGAACCAACATAGGTCATCTAACTATAAACTATCAAACCATGAAGCTTAAGACCAGAAAATCAGAGTATAACATGTCAAATAATCAAAATATTAGAGCTAAAGCAAGAACTCAGATGAAACTTCATAACAGTCCACTAACTTCTCCAGTCAATCAGGACTAACATTTCCATCCTTTTGCATATTTCTCCTCCTGTTTCCGATCTAAATGCCAAAGATTCAACAGTTGTTGCTCCCAAACTTGACGTCAGACCAGAAATGAGAGATGTAGGTACGTCCAGATTCAAGAATAGAAAGGTATAGAATAAGAGAAGTAGTAAAGAAAAGAATTCTGGTTGCAAAGAGAGACAATGAGATGGATAGTAAGATAAGAAAAATATATGGTTCAGAGTCACGTGAAGCACAAAAGAAGAATGATGGTTCCAACTCATAAACACATTTCACAGTCAAGACACGAAACATCATTATATAAGGAGATAAAATCAAGGGTTAGACAAGTAGTCAAGATAATGTACCCAAAATAATTTCGTGCATAGATTCTTTCTCATTCAAACCTCATCGGAAATTATGTATAATGCCTAAATATGAATTAAATCGCACACAAAAATAAAAAATCAAACACATAAAATCACAATGTTCGCACACGCAAGTTATCGAAATAATCCAATAATTTGAAAATTCTTTCCAAGCAATCCTTATAACTGCGGACACTAAACAATATAGGTGGATGAACATAATCAAGTGCAACATCATATATCTCCCATAAAATTAAAATTAAGCGAAATTCATGTGACACTTTTCACTTAGTAATAATTGTAATTTTTCAACGAAAATCAACCCCACTACTTCATGTGTAACACCCCGCCTTGACTAACTTTGACTTTTTGAAAAAATCAGAGTAAATTTTTCGCTTTTTATTTTCGAAATGTCGTGCGAGTTTATTTTCGAAAATACTTACTTAATTGCGGGATGCTACTAAACTTACTTAACTTACTATTTCGGACATGAATAAAACATTCAACCCATTGTGCCACTACGGAGATAGTGAAACATACATATAATCCGATAATTTCGCCCCAATCGATTTTTAAAGAAAATCCATGGCTTTTCCAAAAAATCAAGGTAAAAATTTTTCGAAACTTATTTTTCTAAACATAAACTTTTGGCGTTACTCATACTTTTTAAAAACACAGTTCAAGTCATAACTGAACTACGGGGATTCATTACCCAATTCTCCAACGGTTTTCATTAACCACATAACATAAACATAAACATCAGGATATTCTCAATCATATATCAAGAAAGATTTTTCAACATAAACCAAATCCAAATGTTTTCAAATTCAACAAGTTCCAAATCCAATCCAACATAAGTTCATGAAAAAGCGGAAGCAATTAAAAAAACATAATAAATAAGTATGACCACCACTCGCCTTGTCTCATCACGCGCCACTGCTTAACCTGCATCAGTTACGAGCAGGTGGTAGTGAGTACAGTTAAATATCGTACTCACACTATGCAATGCACATTTCGTAATATGTTAAATAGGCATGGTCGCAGCATGAACATAAACAATATCACATATGTCACATCTCCAACATAAACATAAATACTCCTGTGTACACATCTTTCATAATAGTCGCGGAAAGGGGATTCATTACCCTAACGGCGAGAGTACGTGCCACGCAAGGACACGTCCTTTCATAATAGGTCTTAAGGAGACTTGCCTCGCACGGACAACCGTATTACATCGACGGGGACAACCGTACCGATGGTCATCATAATAGCTCACATTGACAGGCTACATATTCACGTTCATACATAGATCACGCCAAAACCGTAAACATATTTAAACACACATTGCACAGGTAATTTAGAATAACAACCCACCTGGTAATCGGGTAGAAAATGCACACAATAACCGATACGTAGGTCAAAGGCTCGACTCCTCACACACCTACATTTAAGCGAGATAATTATTAATAATTTATCTCACTACTC